GCTTCACTTATATCCTATGAGTAAATGGTTGAATGAATTGAATATCATAAATTGAAATTATGTATGCTTCATATGCTTATCCCATGGGGAGTAATGAATTCACATATAAGAGGTATAGGTGGTAAAATTTATTGAAAGTTAGCAAACACAACATTGGTCACTTGAACAATTCATGAAAGAATATTGAAGGAAGAGAGATTTCACATATAAATATACTATCTTGGACATCTTCTATGATTGTGAGCCCCATAAATTATTTCCAAACTTGAGAAAATTAGTTGAAGTTGGATAAGGAAGACAACGTAATGAGTTATGTTTGGGTATATTTGCATAGAAGTTATATTGTTATGGATCCTCTAACATGTGATGCTTGCTTAGGATCTTTTGCTAGCCAAAAATTTGTACTAAGTAGAGATACTACTTGTGCATCCAAAACCCTTAAGCCCCGTTTCATGCCATGAGTGTCCACCATATCTACCTATGGATTGAATAAGATCCTTCAAGTAAGTTGTCATCGGTGCAAAAAAGCAATAAAAATTGCTCCTAAATATGTATGATCTTTTATTGTAAGGGAAAATAAGCGTTGTATGAACTTGTGATGGTAAAGAAATAAAAGCGACGGACTGCATAATAAAGGTTGCTATCACAAAAGGCGATACAACGTGACATTCCTTTGCATTAAGGGTTTGCACATCCAAAATTAAAAAGCGCATGACAACCTCTGCTTCCCTCTGTGAAGGGCCTATCTTTTACTTTCATGTATTTACTTCTATGCAAGAGTCAATAGTATTCCTTATTATTTCAACCTCAATTATTCTTTAGTTGGCAAGCATCACGTGGTGGGGGAAGATCCAAGCATATATGGCCATTCAAATATATTTTATCATGAATTATTATTGTTGACAATTATCTACATGATAAATAAGTTGGGAGGTGAAACACTAAGCCCCTATCTTTCTCTGTGTTCGACGGATACTAGTTGTTCTGAAAATATGATTTGAGTGTTAGCAATCATGGAAGACTATATGATAGTTGAGTATGTGGAATTTGCTAAATCAAAGCTCTTGCATAGACCCTTCCTGAAATAAGATGAATTGCAATTGTTTGGTGACTGAAAGCCTAGTTTGTTAGTTCTCAAGAAACTTTATGGTCTATACTTTAACGTGTGAATAGCTTGCTACTTTATCATGAGAAGTTTTATGAGATGAGCTACTGTTTATGATAAAAAATAATGCTAAAAAAGTGTTTGGAACTATCATTGATCAAATTTAGGCACTATGCTAGCATTCACACTTCATAAATTATTTCTTTATCATTTACCTACTCGAGGACGAGCAGGAATTAAGTTTGGGGATGCTGATACGTCTCCGACGTATCTATAATTTATGAAGTATTCATGCCATGTTTACAGCACTTTTATATGGTTTTGGTATGATTTGATTAGAACTAACCCAGACTGATGCTGTTTTCAGCAGAACTACCGCGGTGTCGTTTTTTGTGCAGAAATAGAAGTTCTCGGAATGGGCTAAAAATTTACGGTGATTTTTTATGGACAAAAGAGAACCCCAAAGCACAAGAGTTGGACCAGAAGAGTCCCGAGGCGACTACAAGGTAGGGGGCGCACCCTACCCCCCGGGAGGGTGCTCCTACCTTGTCGTTGTCTTGGGGACCCCCTTGACGTGAGACTGACGCCAAAAATTCCTATAGATACCAAAACCTCCAGAAATAAACCTAGATTGGGAGTTCCACCGCCGCAAGCTTCTGTAGCCACAAAAAATCAATCTAGGCCCTCTCCAGCACCCTGCCGGAGAGGCCCATCATCACCAGAGGCCATGGAGGAGGATCCCGGAGGGGGCCATCATCACCATGGAGGGCAAGAACCAGAGGGGGAACCTCTCCCCATCTAGGGGGAGGCCATGGAGGAGGAAGCACAAGGGGGAGACTCTCTCCCCCTCTCTCTCGGTGGCACCGGAGTGTCGCCGGGGGAACCATCGTCGCGGTGATCGTCTTCATCAACATCACCATCTTCATCACCATCCTCATCTCTTTTATGCGGTCCACTCTCCCGCACCCTGCTTTCACCCCCTACTTGAACATGGTCCTTTATGCCACATATTATGATCTAATGATGTGTTGCCATCCTATGATGTTTTGAGTAGATTTCTTTTGTCTTTTGGGTTGATTGATGATCTAGATTGGTTCGAGTTGTGTGTTTTATTTTGGTGCCGTCCTATGGTCCCTTCCGTGCCACGCACACGTGAAGGATTCCCGCTGTAGGGTGTTGCAATACGTTCATGATTCTCTTATAGTGGGTTGCTTGAGTGACAGAAGCATAAACCGGAATAAGGGGGTTGTTTGCTTCCATCTTGATACTTTAATGCTATGCTTGGGTTTTACCTTAATGATCTTTAGTAGTTGCGGATGCTTGCTAGAGTTCCAATCATAAGTGCATATAATTCAAGAAGAGAAAGTATGTTAGCTTATGCCTCTCCCTCATATAAAATTGCAATAACGACCACCGATCTTGTTAACAATTGCCTAGGATGATTCCGCACACCGATCCATCATTATTCTACACTCGCTATTTACAATATATTTTAACTTTATGTTAACAACACCTATTTTTATATTTTAGTTCTCCGATATCATGCAAAGTTATCCTATTCATACCCACAACGTAGTTTTATTTCTTGTTTCTAGATGGAAGCAAACGTTCGGTGTACGTAGAGCCGTATCAGTGGCAGATAGGATTTGAGAGAATATTGATCTTACCTTTAGCTTCTTGTGGGTTCGACACTCCATACTTATCACATCCATCTTTAGAAATTGCTACGATGATTCCTTGCACTTGAGGATTATCAAAAAACGAGGGAAGGGACAAGCTTTTCTCAACGGCAACATTGCCGCCGTCGAGAGGACCATAACCCTAACTCGAGGGAAGATGCAGAACGCGTCACAATTAGTTTAGATCATGTAATCGGATCTATTCAATATGGGAATGGGTCGGGTCGGCTTGCCGGGTCATTGGCCCACCCCAAAAAATCAAGGCCAATGGGCCGTGTGGGTCGGCCTTGGACCATAGTTGGGTCAGTGGAGCCGACATCGACTGACCCAGTGGGTCAGCAGGGTCGACCGACCTCCGAGGCCACGACTCGTAGTACGGCTGGTTCTACCCTTGTCACCGCCCCGTCCATCCATGTCATCGATGGCGTGCCTATCGCTTGTCGTCTCGCCGTTCGGCTTGCCCCGATCGTCGTTCCACCCATTGTGCAACTCGCCATCCTATTCCTCTGTCGCTCGTCCTGCTATAAGATTGTGCTTCTTGTCGGCTTCCTCACCTTCCCGACGATGCTGCCAAGCACATGTGAGACTAGCCTGAGCCTCCTGCTTCCACATGCCCTGCTTGTTTGTTAGCGCTCGTCCTCCTCTGCTTCTTATTTGCTATTAGGTGCTTGTAATTAGGCAATGAACGTCCTAATTTGTTCGATCATTTAACAGCCCGATCTTTGCTATTAGGTGCTCGTATAGTTTGCTTCTTAATGTTGCTACTATGGAGGATTTTTCTGCATGCGATCTTGTGTAGATGTTTTTTATCCAGCCTAGTAATTGTTTGCTAGTTACCTAGATAACAATTAGAATTCGGGCCGGCCCGAGATACCCATCGGGCTAGCAAGGCCATGGGCTTAGAAATGGGTCGACTCTGGCCTCCTCAAAATTTGGCCTTGAGGCCATGAGGGCCAGGGCTGCGTCGGCCCATTCCCATCTTGAAGATTGAGGAGTAGAGAAGACTCCTCAAAAAGAAAAAGGAATAGAGAAGAGATCCTTGATTTTTTTAAGGTTAGAAATTACTAGTAAAATACAGTTCGCCAACCCTAAGGGCATATACAATGTTTGATAAGATAGTCTTATTTTAAGTCTTGTATGTAATTAAGAGATGATAAAAAAACATGTCTACAATGGGTCATCTCTTAGTCTTATCTTCAATAACTAACTATTCCTAAAAATATAATGAGACATATTATGCTAAGAGATCATCTTTTATCTTCTCTTAAAAAAGAGAAGACAAGCCTTTTCTTATGAATTCTCTTTCATTCACCTCATCATTTATCCTACATGACATTGTTAAGATAGAACCATTGTACAAGCATCTCCAACGGGCGCGCTAGAAGACGCGCCCGCGCGGTAAAAGTGCTTTTTAGCGCGCGTCGACCGGTTTCGTGCGCTCCAGCGGTGGCGGGAAACAAGCGCGCGCGGGAAACGATTGCGCGCGCGGGGAAAACGATTGCGCGCGCGGGAAAAGGCGGCAGCTCGCGCGCAAGATTTGGCGCGCCGCTTCGCGCGCGCCTATATAACTGCAGCGCCATCTGCCGCTCTCTCTCTCTCTCGCTCTCTCCACTGCTTTCCCTCCTCGCCGCCGAGCCGCCACCACCGCGCCACCATGCCGCCTCGCCGCCGGGGAGGTTCAGGCTACCGCGGCGTCTGCGTGCGCCCGTCCGGCACCTACTCCGCCTCAATTCAGTCGGGCGGCGGCGTGCGCCTCGGCCTCGGAACCTTCGACACCGCCCAGGATGGCGCGCGCGCATACGACGCTGCGGCGTGGCGACTCCGCCAGTTTTATTTTGTATCGTAGAAGCAGGCTATGTGGACGTAGTAAAACTATATATCGTTGGAGAAGCCAGATTTATTTTGTATCGTAGAAGTAGGCTATGTAGACATAGTAGAACTATATATCGTTGGAGAAGTCTCAATATACGCATTTTGTATCATGTGAAGCAGACTATGTGCGCTGCATTTTAGCGCGGCTATTGGAGCCAGCGCTGCGGGCCGCGTAAAATCAGACGAAGCGCACGCGACAAAGTAGTTTTTAGCGCGCCGTGTGTTGCGCGTTTGTTGGAGATGCTCTAAGTTCCGCCGGATCTGGGCGCGCGAGCATCCAGGCGATCGTGAAGGGCCCGACGGCTGCTGGCTGCTGCCTCGACCCGACCTTGGCAAGGTCAGCAATGCCGCAAGCCGCCACTCAAGAGGGAGAGGCGTCGGGGTCCGGACCAACCCGCGCGCTCCCACGCAGCCAGAGGTCCACGGCTGCAGCAAGGCCCACGGCGACGACCCGGTCGATGGCCCTGGTACGTGCGCGGCAGTCCCCGGGCTCCCAGTCCCCACGGGAACCAACCGTGCGATCCAATACAAGGAAGAGAAAGAGGGATCCGGCTGCCAACCGGAAATCGAAGAAACGGAAGAGGACCGGGGAGGAGGAGGAGGTCTCATCTGCAGACAGCTCTCCAGTTCGCCAGCCACATATCCCGGATCGCATGTACCGACTTCATGATCTGAGTACGTCCAAAGCCATTCAGAAGGCACGAGAAGATGTTTCGGCCAAAAGAGGTATGCAATCCAAGTCGCCTCGATTCCTTTCCATGGTTCCATCACCAATGAGAAAAAGTATCGATTCCACTTCCGAGTGAAGTATTGTGTTCGGCACATGAGTGTTTACTTCGTGTACCGAATTTCTTGTAGCTCGCCATATGGGATTGGCTACTCTGAATGTGCACATGTGCAGAGCTTCCATGTGTGTTCTTGATGACCCAAATCTGGTTCCTGTTCGTGAATCTGCAAGGACGGCAGTGCTTAACGCTGGACGCTCTGTTCTCGGACTTTCATCCTCTGTTGGTACAAATAATAATGATACCATATCTGTTTATTTAGGAGCATCGTGAAATTATGTTGTTTGTTGCTGATATTTCAATGAATTTGTATATTTGTAGGTGGTAAGCCACTAGCACGATGCTGTGGTTTCTGGGTTGATTGGGATGAGAAGAACAAAATTGGCACTGCTTTGACAACTTCACGTCTCATTTGTACCAAGTCTGCATCTTTGGACAGTTGGTCAGGGCAAGAAGAGTATGATACTAATGCCGAGGTGAGTTCTTAAGGATGAGTAGAATTGATGAGTTCTATTCATTTGCTTTGCCCTATAGGTAGTCCAATCTCTAGTTGATTCCAATTCAAAATACCTCTTTCTACTTGTGGCTATCATATACTAGTCCCGCTGAAAAAAGGTTAAAATCTTGCATTCTGCACCTGCTGTAGGTCCTTGTTCACATGCAGGGTGGCACCACTGAAAAGGCCACCCTGCAGTACTATCAGAAGCACTATGATTTGGCCTTCTTCAGTGTTAGAATGGATAGGCCTGTTCATATACTATCTTTCAATGATGGTGTGATGCGTTCTGACCATGTTTTTGAGCTTGGAAGAGATGAAAGTTCGTTTCTAAGGATAAGCCATGGTGTGGTGAAATTCTTGAATCCGAACCTACTTGAACGGTATCACTATATGCATGTTCACAGTGCAGATCCACGTCCCAGGGTAAAAACTGTATTTTATCTTGAGATTGAATTGTACATTTGCTATTCTGGACAATGTATTTTAATGCCTATTTTGCAAATTAATGCTATTGTACCTTCTTGATTTCAATGCATTTTCTAGTATGGCAAAGGAGCGCCACTCATTGACTTTGGCGGAAAAATTGTGGGAATGGTCAATGGCAATACAAGCGGATATTTTATACCGTCTTCCATTTTAGTGAAGTACTTGCATTTGTGGAGAAAATTCCAGTATGTTCTTGTTTACTTCTGTTTTTAGTGCCACTAAGAAGACATGTAGCATTATTATGCCCCCTTTTTAAAGAATATTTTGTCTAGTAAGGATGCAATGAAACACATTATTGATGTTTGTGATCTATAGCAAGTGGATTTCATCAAGATCTATGCAGATTCTAGCCTTGTCTAGATCAATCCCAAACTGCACAAACTTGGTTCTTCGTCTATTACTCTTAGATCTAGTTGTTCCACTTTGATATCCTTCTATTAGTTGAATTTCCTTTATGCAGTGTAGCTTTATAAATCAACAGGATCATATGATCAGGGAAGGCAAAATTCATCTAATCAAAATATTTGGTCTAGCATGGTTCCAAAACTATTTGTCTAGCATTGGAATTTTGATGATATGATAAAATATAATTTGGTTTATTGACTCGATTCATTTTAGAAGGGTTAACACTTATGCTTACTAACTTATTAATGTATATTGGATGACTTTTTGATATAGGCGCATCCCTCGGCCCCAGCTTGGAATGAAATTTTGGTCGATCAAGTTTGTAGACATTGCTCTTGCTGAGAATATATTGTGCAAGTGTAATATTGATGATGGCCTTATTGTAAAAAGGGTATCTCTCGCCCTCTCTTTCTCTCTAGATCAAAATATAGCCACACTAAACTAGGAGCGCAAAATTGCTAATTTTACGCTCCGGACAGACTGCACGAGCCACTCCTGGGCAAACCAACTGACTACACAACCTGCAACCCACACATATATGATTTTGATAGTAAAAATGCTCTAGACCATCGTAAATCTTGGAAAGCTTGTTGTTTTAATGTCACTCATGCGATAGTTGTAAATTGTAAAATGTGCATGCAAATAGCCTTTAGTAGTGTTCTTTTAGTGCTATTATGTGAGTGTTTGTCGTAAACGTGGCTATTTATTTGAACTTAGTTGTGTACTCATCTGTTATTAGTGTGTCTGGTTGAGGTTGTAGTATTTGTCATGTTAGGTTTGTAATAGAGAAAAATTCACTGTAGGTCCTTATACTTGTCGCGTTGGCCGCATTTCTCCTCGCACTTGCAAATACCCAAAATGCAGTCCTACAACTTGTCTCAGGTGGTCGTCTACGGTCCAAAATACCATTTCCTCTACGTATGCGTTGACTTGGTTGTTGACTGGCTAGTCCACATGGGCTTTGACCGCCAGCTCAGCAGAAGACGCCCTGGGCGGGGTGATTGGGGGGAATGCGAGGGGGTTTATTGCAAAAACGTCTGGCAATAAAACATGAGCCGCCACCTGGTCGGACCGATCCATCCACCTGGTCCGACCCGACCAGACCGAGCCGCTCCGCTCCGCTCCCCTCCCTTGTTCGTCGTTGCTGCCGAGGTGCTCGCCTCCTCTCGCCGGGCGTGGCGGTCTGTGGCGGCGCCCGCCATGAGCTCGTCGTCGGACGCTGAGCCGCCGCCGTCTGCTCCGTTTGGTCGGGGCCTGCGTGACGTTCCTCTCGCTCCCTCCCATCGTCAGGATCATGCCGAGCCGCCGCTGTACGGTACATCGCCGTCGTTAGCACCTTCTCTGCCCGATCTGTCCGTTTTAGCTGGGGGAAAGAGTGCGCGCCCTACTCAATTGCGCATACGGGGTAGGGTTTAGGGTTCTTGGCCATCTTTTTCTGTCACGGGTTTAGGGGTGTAGGGTTTTAGCCGTGGATGGTGAAGTTAGTGGCAGATGCAAATTAGGGTTTCATGAGGCCTTTCGATAGGTTAGTTGTAGATGAAATATGGTTGTACAGAGGTAATAAAGGTTTTGATTGCTCGAATTGTTAGGCAAAGTGGATGCCCTGTTTTTTTGGCCGTCAATGTTAGCTTAAATTAGGTTACATGCGTCGACCATATGTTGTTTTGTTAATGAGATGACTGTTTGTTTGCCAGATCCAGCAAAGGAACAGGCTTTTGGACGTGAAAGATCACCAATTTGTTTACTTGATATGCCATGAATGCCATCATTTTGTTTTGGAAATGTCTGAACTTTCAGTTATCTATTTCTGAACCTGTATCTGATACATTTGTCTACATTTGTATACAATGTCTGCACTTACACTGAGCATATTTGTCATGTTTTCAACTACTTGAACATCTTTTGTCTGAACATTGACAGTTTTGTTATTACGGACTTAACATTTTTTTGTCTGAACATTGACAGTTGTGTTAGACTGGTGCAGTTACATTGTGTCAATTTCCTAGATCAGATGATCTCAAATAGCATGGTTGTGTCATTGTGCAGTTGCATTGTCTCTTCACCTATGTTATTACTGTCTGTTGTTGCATTGTGCAGTTGCATTCTCTGTCATCTCTGTTATTACTGTCTGTCTGAAGATTTTGTCATTTCATTTGTTTTTGCAGGCCCCTTAAGCAACCATTTCTCTGTTGAGGTCATACATGGTGGCTATTTCCTATGTGCAGACAAGCATAGGGGTTATCACAAGGGCCACTCCATTTGGTATGACTACTGTGATATAGATAATTGGACACCTACAGTTGTTGCCATTCTGGTGGAGAAAATTGGGTATGAGTTTGAGGGCGGGATAAGGGCTTACTGGTGTGTTCCTGGACTGACAGTCTATAAGAATGGCTTAAGAGAAATTAAGTTAGGGGACAACACAATGACAGAGAACACGAAGGATTGTGTTCTTAATGGGAACCATTTCCAGCAGATATTTCTTGATCATGATGACAGTATGAGGTCATATATTTCCCTTGTTCAAGTTCATTCTGATGATGAAGATCCTCCTCTAGTCAAATTCAGTGGCCTGAGACCTAAGAAGGAGCAAGTGCCAGTGCAAGAGGATCATTCTGACCAAGTGCAAGAGGAAAATGCTGATCAAGTGCAAGAGGAGCAGGCTGAGCAAGATCAGTTGTATGATGCAGAAAGTGAGGAAGAGTCACAAGAAGAGGAGTACATGCCAGATCCTCCTCAGCCGGATCCGTCGCGCGCTGGCTCGCGAGCGGAGCGCGTCCAGAACGTCGAGGTGGCCGTCCCCGCGCCTGTCAACACGGCCTACTGGGACCACTATCAGCCCGACCTCCTCGGGCGCGACGACAACTCTGATTACATCTCGTCGGAGTCGGAGTACGACTCTGGCTTCGACGAAGACTCTGGCTACACCGCCGACTCGTCTTGGTCGACTGGCTGGGAGGAGCCAGAGGTGATCGTCCTCTCTGACGACGAGCCGGAGGTGCAGATGGCGGCGCCCGTCGTCCCCGAGCCGGAGGTCCAGATGGTGGCGCCTGTCGCCAGGGAGGGTGACAAGCACCGCCCAATTGACGTCGACGCGCTTCCAGATGTTCCTGACATCGTCAAGAAGGAGGTGGAGGTGGTCTTGACACTTGAAGCACATGCAGAGGTGGCTGACAAGAAGATGAACAAGAAGAAGAGGAAGATGCCTGAAGAAGGTGCAGCTGAGGTTCGCAGGTCAAAGCGCCTGAAGAAGATGGCCTGAAGAAGTGAAGGTGGTTAGTTAGGTATGCTGAAAGTATAGTATTTTCAGCATATAAGTTATAATTATAGATGTTTGGTTAGTTAGGTGTGCTTGTATAATGTGAGCACATAAGTTAATTATTACTGCTGGTCTTCTTTTGGTAATGTGAACAAGTGCTATGAAATGTTGAATGATGAATGTTTGGTGTCATGTTTGTGGACAAGTACAAACATGAATGCTGAAAGTGCTATGAAATGTTGAACTGATGTTTGGTTAGGGGATCTCTTTGGTTAGTTAGGTGTGCTTGTATAATGCTGAATGTTGCTGTCATTGTTGCTGTCATATTCAGTTGTTGTCAGTTACTATGTTGAGGAATTGTTTCTGTCATTGTTAGGTATGCTGAATGTTGTCAACATTCAGTTCAACACTTCTGTCTTTTGTCAGCACCAAATAAACATCAACTAAAGGAATCCTTGCAGTTGAACTGTTAGGTATGCATATGTGGTTAGCTACTGGATAAACAAATTGACTTGAATAACATCAAACTGGAATTTGAGCATCTAGTACAACATCAGTTCAATCAAATTAAGCATCTAGTACTACATCAGTACAACATCAGTTAAATCATTCAGCATGTAGTACAACATCAGCTCAATCAAAATCATCCAGCATGCCCTTAAGCTTCCTTATCTTCTCCTTGGTGTCCTCTTTGTGTTTGAACAAGTCACCAATCATGTATTCAAGCTTTCTCTTCTCTTGCTTTAATTTATCCCTCTCTCCAATGACTTGGTCCCTCTCTTGGATCACTTGATCTCTCTCTTTTTCTGCCTTAGCCCTGAATACCTGATGAATGCTTGTTACTGTTTTGTCATTCATCTTCCTCTTCTCAAGCTCTGCCCTAAGATCAGCCATAGCAATTTGTGTGCTGCCTAATTGGCTAATTGCATGCTCCTTCTCAGCCACAAGATTAGCAAAATCAAGTTTGAAATTGCTAAGCTCTTTTTCCAACTTCTTCTATTCCAAAATCTTCAAGTTTTCCTCAGCATTCAGAACATTTTGTCTGAGGTTCTGTTTTGTCTCCTCTTCATACATGCTCCATATCCTAGCTAGGCTCATCTTCATAGCATCAGGTCACTCAGGGTCAACCCACTCCACATAGTTGCAGCTAGGTACTTCCTATGAATTTAAAACAAATATAATTTCAGTTAACTAATCAAGAAATTCAGCTAACTACTCAACAAATTTCAGTTAACTAAACATAGCACTTTAAATGGCATACAAATTGACTACTCAAAAATAACTAAAATTTGAGCTTTTTAACCTTTTGACAGTGTGAATGAGTTTGTACTAACCTTCTGGGCACAGGTTAGGAACCTCCTGCCAGTATCAACTGATTCAAATGCCACAACCTTCTCACACAAAGTTCCATGCTGACATGTAAAACTAGGCAAATCTATGGCCAGGCCTCTCCATTCCTCACAGAAAATTGTGGCAGGAGCCTAAAACAGATCCAGATTTGGATTCAGAATGAAGAAACAAGAGAAAACCCTAGCTTTTGGTAACCCTAGTAGGAGATGAGGAGGAGATGACCAACCTTGCTGGTAACAGAGTCGTCTCCGGAAGAGCTAGGGAGATCATCCCACGACACCATGGATCTTTGTGGTGCTTGAGAAGAAGAGAAGAACTTTGTGGTGCTGGAGAAGAAGAGAAGAATGGGAACGAGGAAGATATACTTGTGGCTGGGGGAGGAAGCATAGGTGGATCTGGTGGTTGTGGACCAAAGGCAAACATACAATGCAAGTTGTAGGGTGCCAGTGTGCATTGTTGTGGACCAATCAGTTAGCTGAATATTTGTTCAGTTAAGTTCAGTTATATTTTGGCCATATCATACAAGCTCATTTAACTTAATCCTTGTTCAGTTAAGTTCAGTTACATTTTGGGCATATCAATCAAGCTCATTTAACTGAATCTTTGTTCAGTTAAGTTGATTTACAATTTGGCCATATCAATCAAGCTAAGACCAAGTGCAGTTAACTGAATATTTGGCTCAGAGAGCTCAGAGAAGACAAAGTTAACTGAATATTAACAACAAATTGGAAGATTCAACACTGACATCATAGATACATCATATCCATTACAACCATACAGCCAAAATAACATCATATCCATTACAGCCATAGATACATATCCAGCTCAGACAGCCATAGATACTAATTTATCAACATCTCACTTCTTCATAATGAAGATGAAAGACAACACACAAAGAACCACAACACTAGCCATAAGAAGCTTTAGCACTAGAAGGATCTCTCTACCTAATCCAAGAAGCATAGCAACTTGCTGCTTGGTAGCAAGGTTTTTCTCACTAGGGCTGTCAAAATTCACCCTGCCTGCAATGCCTCTTCCAGCCAAGGCCCTTCCAGCTAAGTTTCTTCCTGCCATCCACTCAGTCCTCTTCCTCTCAAGATCTTCCCTCCTGTCCTCAGCTGCACCAATTGCATCTACAGCAGCATTACCAACAAGAACTCTAGTTTCAACCAGATGCTGCACATATTCCATCTCCCAGCGCCAGAAATCACAGGTGACCTACAACCAAAGCAATGCAATGTGTGAAAATGACTGACAAAGTGCAGTTAACATGAAAAAATGTTCAGTTAAGAGATCTCTTCAGTTAACTTCTAAGCACATTCAAGACTAAAATTCAGTTAACCATGGCTACTGAGCACATTCAAGACTTCTAATCACATGAATTGCTGAACATTCAGTTAACTTCTAAGCACATCACAGCATGGCTACTGAGCACAGCATGGCTACTGAACAGGGCAGGTGCATGAATCGAACAGAGCAAGACTGAAGCTTACATTGTCGTGGGTGCACTTGTAGAAAACCCAACCATCGTGCTCATTGGTGCTAGAGCGGTAGCACTTGACGGGTTCGCCACAATCGGGGCATCCGACCAGTGGCACCTCAACAGAGCGGCCACGCAGACCAGAGCGCACACCGGAGCGGGAGGATCTCGCAGATGACATGCCGGTGGAGATCCAGGCGGTGGTGCCTGCGGCGACGGCGGCGAGAGGTAGCAGCAGATCTAGGCGGTGGTGCCTGCGGCGACAGCGGCGGAGCAGGCGACGGTGATTAGGGTTCGAGACGGGAGAGGAGAGGGAGAGGTGTAGGTGCGGTGTGGTGCGGTGTGTGTGGTCCGACCAGGTGGGTGCGGTCGCGATCCGACCAGGTGGGTGGGTGTGGCGCGGTCCGACCAGGTGGTGAGGCGCGGTCCGACCAGGCGGGGGGATAAACGCAAATTCATCGTTTTTGCAACAAACCCCCTTGTATTCTCCCGTGCAGCTGAGCTGGCGGTCAAAGCCCGCGTGGACTAGCCAGTCAACAGCCAAGTCAGCGCATACGTAGAGGAAATGGTATTTTGGACCATAGACGACCACCTGAGACAAGTTGTAGGACTGTATTTCGGGTATTTGCAAGTGCGAGGAGAAATGCGGCCAACGCGACAAGTATGGGGACCTGCAGTGAATTTTTCTCTTTGTAATATATATAGCGGAGTATCTAGTAAATGTAGCAAAGTACTAAAGTTGGTATGTGATTAAGTAGCACCAGAGCATCTAGTTATGTAGTAAAACCAGTTATGTGCAAGTCATCTATGCGCACAATTGTATTTTTTGCTAGTTGGTAAATGGATTTGGTACTGATATGCTTAGCAGGTGCCTTTGCTAACCCAGTTTTACTACCTTCAATTCATCATGTACCTCCTTGTCTCCATTTTGGAGCAGAGGCAAGATTTTTACCATGTGATCTCTAGGATTTACTATGTATTATACACCATAGTTTACTACATGTTTTACCGTTGAGTAGGAGGTGAGAAACCAAGGCACCCAAGTGTTGGGCTGGTTTGGATTTATGTTTGATCTTCTATTACTATATTACTGTTCATCTTTGCTAGTAGGACTTGCTAGTACTGCATCCCTGTGCACCTTTACTACTAGAACTTCAGTTTTTGTGCATGATTTGGATAGAGAAGTCAGGGATCCGGGAAGTTGTTGGTATGGTCAATCGTGCACTGTGTCTGGAGCGCAGAACACACACACACACACACACATGTTTATATTGGTCATTTCTAGATTTATGTTAGCTTTCTTGACTGTTTATGTTATCATGCATATTGAGTGGTTATTGCGGGTCTTAGGTGTCATATGGATCTCCTGCTGAGAAACTTGGAATACTGGTGGGTGACGTCATTAGTTGTTTCAATGGAGAACACATCTCTACAACAGTTGAGGTAGATGCACTGTAGATATTATGTTTGAAGTAATACGAAAGTAAGACACTCATGTTAAATTCTATTGCTTTATGCTATTAAGGGCATCTCCAGCCGTTGGCCCCCCAGGAGGGGCAAAAAAACGCCCCCTGGGGGCGCACGGCGCTAAACCGCGCACTGGGGGCGTGATGCCCCCCAGTCGCGTCACCCACGGTTAGTCAAAAAAGTCAAACACGGCGCAAAAACGACTCAAATTTAACGCAAACATCGGCGAGTTCATTCAAACTTAAACATATTTTACAAAAAAGAAAAAAAACTACCGCGGGCTACCCCCGCCGTCTCCCTCGCCGCCCGCCCACGCGGTTCTACATGCCAAGGAGGCGGTTGAACCGCGTGTAGTCACCGCCGTCGTCGTCATCATCGTCGTCGTCGTCGTCGCCGCCTCCGCCGTCCCTGCTGCATCCCTCCCCCGGTTGGCGCGGCGGGTTGGACGGTCCGGGGGCGTCGTCGTCGTCGTCGCTGTCGAGGACCACGACGCCGTGCTCGTCCTCGCGCCCACGCTTGCGGGCGGCGATCTCCTTCAGGGCCCGGCGCTGCCGGACCATCTCGTCGCGGAGGTAGTCGTCCCGCGCCCACCGCATGGCGTCCTCGTCGAAGAAGCCGCGCTGGGCTATCTCCTCGTACTCCGCGGGGAGGATGGGCTCCGGCTTGGGCTCGGCGAGGACGAAGCGGCCGGTTGGTGGAGAGGCGTTGGCGCCGCCGGAGCTGCGGGTGCGCGCGCTGACCGACGTGTCCTGGGGCTCCGGCTTGACAGGGCGGAGGCAGGGCGAGCCGCCGGACGAGGAGGACCCCCCGGTCTCCATGCGCCTCGGGGTCCAGGAGCTTCCCCGGCGGCGTGAGAAGGAAGGGGGAGCAGGGTACTCCAGGCACGGCGTGTTGCCGCCCTCGATGTACTCGAGGACGGCCTCCAACGTGCGCCTGGGCACGCCCCACCACAGACGCCGGCCGGCGGCGTTGAGCCTGCCGGAGGGCACGACGCCGTTGGTGGCCTCGAGCTGCTCGGCCTGACGGCGACGGAAGTACGGTTCCCAGAGCGGGCTGTCGGGGGCGTACCGTGGCGCCTCCCTCGCCGCACGCGGCAGGTTCGAGCGGATGCGTGCGATCTCCGCACGCCGCGCCGCGCCGGTCGGTACCGGGGGCACCGGCACGCCGCCCGCGCTGATCCTCCACGTCCCGGGCACCCGCATGTCCGGCGGGACCGGGTACTCGAGCTCGTAAAGGAGGCGAGCCTCGTCTTCGTGAAGATGGCGGCGGCCGAAGCCGTTCGCCGCCGCGCCGTCGCCCGGGAAGCGCTCGGCCATGGCTGTGAACTGGGGACGGCGAAAGAGAGGAGAGGAGAGGGAGGAAACGACGGCGGCGGGAGAGTGTGAGTCGTCGAGTGCGCCGGGGCGCTTCATATATAGGCCAAGGCGCGCGTGTCACCGTGTGTACGCGTGGCGGGCGAGGGAGGGCGAGGGACGCGCGTCGTCCGGTCTTCACTGCGCCGCCCGTGAGGCATCAATGGTGCAGGCTGAGCCGCGGGAAACGAGGCGATGAGGACGACGAAGGGCCGAGAAGAGAGCCGTGTCGCTGACGCGGCGGGCCCGCGCTTTTTCGCGCCAAAACAGTTCGCCCGGCGCCCCCGGGCGCCCCCCAGCGCGCCGGGTTCGGGCTGGGTCCGCCGGCGCTGTTTTCGGCCCAAGCCGGCGAAAATCGGGCTCCTGGGGGCGCGACTGGGCCGTTTTTTCGGCGCCGGCGCGAAAAAAACGCCTGAGGAGGCCTTCCTGGGGGCGCGGCTGGAGATGCCCTAACTTACATAAGTATTGCTGCTGTTGTCAGTTAGAGAATATGATGCTGAGCAAATGTGAGGATGAAAATAATAGCCTTAATTCTGAACTGAATGTCAAAGTAAGTTTCTTCTATGATTTGCTTTATGCATGTTGTTCACCTTTATATGGAAATAATATTAGCATAATGTTGACACCGATAAATATATGATTTTACCTTTTTAGTTTGATGTGTTTCACATACGCAAGTCTCGCTGGAGTGACAGAACATTAACTGTAAAAGTGTCTGATGACAGTGAAGTAGTTGCAACAGGAGGTATGTATCCTTTGCCAACCTATTCGATCTAAGGATCTACATTATTTCGTTTTGTAAATGGTTATTCACACATTTGCCACTGTGCCATAGTTTTTTTTACATATTTGCTATTAGTTTCTCTCACCTTCCTCTGATTTCGCCACCGTGCAATTGGTCAGCACTAGTTAGACTCAGCTGGGCACTATGTATTAGCTGGGTAGCGGAAGCATTGAGTATTTTGGGCTATTGAAGATGTGAGAATTTACCAAGTATTTACAGTAGACATGCAGACTTAAAGCTCTTGCATGTCAGGTTGTGCTACTCTTGCAGAAAGATCTTCAAAATGCAATTTTAGTGCAAGTAGTAAGATCTTAGACCTCACAGAAATGGTAGAAATTTCTCTGATGTATTACTCTACAAAAAGGTAGGCCCCAAGCATAGCTATCACACAAAATTACTAAGTGCAGCTATCAAACAGAGAAAAGTAAGCAAGCATTAGGCTGCATACATGCTACATTGAAGGTGCAAGGCTGCACACAGCATTACAAGCAATAAACTTCACAAGTTCTTACTTCCAAAAGCATCAGGACTGCATACTTGTCACACGTGTTCTTCAAAAGCTCCTGGATTGCATACTCACTAATTTCAGAAGCAGCAGGACTCCATACTTGCCATTGCAAGTCTGAAACCAAAATTTACATGGCAATAGTACCTATCGCAGCTTCTGTAGCAATCTGATCATGTGGTGATGTTTGTGGCTGGTTTTAGTGCAGCATTTTTGCTACTTCAAATCACAGATCTTTTTCTTTGACCTTTTGCCACCACTTTCTTACCAGTCTTCCTGGAGGTGCATCGGACCATCAGTTTTACAAATAGAAAGAAATGCATTAGTCTCCTGTAGCTAAAGAGATTCATCTGTTTTATAGAATTAACTAATAGCTAAATAAATGCATTAGTTTTACATAAGAACAATAGTTTTACAAAAACTAAAGAAACGCGTTAGGCGAGGAAGAGTACCGAACAGTGCTTATACTAATACAGGGACCAGTCTGTTCATCTTCTGAAAATTCTTGGTCAACTTACTCTTTGCAATTCTTCTGTATCTGACCAAGTTGTCCACAGCATTTGCATTTCCTCTTTGTAGGCCCAACCTTGCATCTATTTCATTCAAAGCCTGGATTATATTCTTTGTTGGTCTCCTAGGAGGCCTTTTTAGTAAAGGGCAGCCTGGTACACGTAGCTCCCGCTTGCGCAGGGTCCGGGGAAGGGTCCGACCACTTTGGGTTTTCTGTACGCAGCCTTTCCCTGCATTTTTGCAAGAGGATGTTTCTAGGACTCGAATCCATGAACTTATGGTCACAAAGCAACAGCTTTACCGTTGCGCCAAGGCTCCCCTTCAGGAGGCCTCTTTAGCAGAGGAGGATACGTTTGACATGTTGATATTTCCATAGCATTGCACGTATGCTGTTTGCATAAGCTGCTTATACTTCAACTTCCCTTCCTGGTTCCCTAAGTGAAGTGATGACGAAAATAGCATGGACACAAGGAAGGCCTTTGCATAGCCTACAGCTACATGCTCTCTTCTCAGTGTCAACTGGACGCTTCCATTCCATTCCATCCCATCTTTCTCTCTTGCATATACTTCTGCCTCGGAACTTTTGCTTCTGACCAGTCTTATCTTTAGACCTCTAGTTCTTTGATTAAGGTTCTGCATGATAGTTGTGAGAACTTAGTGACTTCTTTTTGTTGCAATTCTTTTGTCTAAGATCAGTTCTCTGCATTAATTGTGGCCTAATGGTATCCAACAAATCGACAATGGGCATAGCTTTTAGTTTCTTGGTCTTGCTGTTGAAGGAATCTGCTAGATTGTTATCTGACATAATCAACTTTGGGGACTTCATTGAACTTGCTTCTAGACCATAAATTTGGGTGGCGTTCATCCTTGTATTTCTGCACTTTAGGTTTTGCATAGATTTTCTCTATGTGGGCAGCATGCTTCATAGGGAGGTAGGTATGCACAGTAGGCCATAAATTGTCATAGAATTTAAAGACCCTTTAAACTTCTTCAGAAAATTGGCAGCTAGCTGCCTCATGCTCCCTATGCTCCACTCGCTAAAAGATGCAACCCACTGCACTCTCCCATCCCTTGCATGCATCTGTGTGATTGACCAGACCAGCTGGATGGCAAATGACCTGTTTGTCTCTCCATGAAGGCATGAATCCAGTCCTGGTGTCAGTGGATTCTGCATCCATAACTCCATAGGCTACCGGGTACAACCAATTTTGGCCATCAATACCACAAGCAGCTGCCTATTGTCCTCCGAACTTGCTTGTTAGAGCAGTTGAATCTACAGCCAAGTATGGTGGGCACCCCTCTAAGAAACCCATCCAACATGGCTTGACTGATGCAAACTCTTTGTTGAAGCACATTTTCAATTTGATTTCTTCATAATCAATATCAACAAACACTCGTTGGTGATACCATCTTTAAATCTGACTTAAATATGCATAACAATTACCAAGTGGAAACTATCTTTCCCTTGTCCTTGTAAGTGTCATCTCCTTGCATTAAATGTTCTGTGATGTGGAACTTTGATATGGCACTACTCTTGAAGTTTCTTCTGCAAATCTGTAGCACCAAGTAACTAGTCCAGCATTGTAGCAACCCATGTTCTTGTAGCTGGCGTCAGCCTCTCACTTCTTTGAGCACGCCAGCAAATATGATGACTGGGATAGGAGACAGAAATTATTAACACATGTAATCCACACATTATACATGAAGACCAACTATAAAACATTATACTTAAAAAGTTAAACCATCTTTCATATAAGTTGCATGCAGTTTCCATCCACAATAAACTCGTACCAGAGGTGGATCACCCTTTTCGGTTCCATATCCATATTCTTTTTTATCGCAAAGGTTGCAAGTGCATTCTGAATTCAAACAAGGATAATTTGTCTCCTCCAAAATTGGAGGATTATCTTTGTCATAGGACACTATTAGCCTGTCATCATCATCATCACCATCTCTGCAAGTCATTTCTGTATCCTCAATAACAGTCAGCATATCAGGGCAGCACATAGTCCCCAGGCTCATCTGTGTACCGTGTTTCACCACTAACAGTCTTAACACCCTTATATTATTCACCGTGTTCAGCTATGTTAGGGTAACTCCAACGGGGCGACGCATTTCGTCCACCCGCATCCGTTTCTATCCGCGCGGGCAGAAACCACGGCCCAACGTGGCGACGCAAACCGCTCGATGTCCGTTTTGCTGTCCGCTTTGACCAATTTCTAGCCCATATTTGGGCTCAGTTTGCGTCCGCGTAAACACGCCGCGGACGCCCGCGTTGTCCTCCCCTGGCTCTCCTTTGCCCGAATTTGGCGAAGGATGTGTGCAACCGATGCCTAGTACAATCGTAACAGTTGTGAGATAGTTATTGGCAAAGTTTGCCATGTAGAACAATGTGATGATGTGGCAGAAAATAAGTAAGTAGGGAGAGAAATGTTATATGTAAATTAACCAAGTCACAGTTGTGAAATTTGTGAAATTGTTGTTGGAAAGTTTGCCAGATAGGACAATGTGACATAATAAATAAGTAGAGAGAGAATTTGTTGAATGTAATTGAACCAAAAATTCTAGCGCAAGCTTCAAACTTAGTGTGAAATTTAATATTTCTCATCTCCTATCGAATAGCATAGACATACTCTGTTGGAGTATTGTATGATTGATTGATCATTAGTTGATAAATATACCCAAAAAATGTTGAATATGCTTTAGATGGTATTTTTGCTAGAGAACTTAGCTTGGTTAAACATCGTTGATTGTACTGTTTTTGGTTGAAAGTAGACATGTGCATGGGCAGCCCGGCCCAGAGGCCCGAGCCTGAAAGCCTGGCATCCTGTCCACGCTTGGGCTCCACTTTCTCACCCGAAGCCCGGACTGAAAGCCCGGAAGAACCCTGAAATGACCATATATAGATATTTTATTTGAAATATAGGTATAATATATTAAATATAATATTCCGAATATAAGTATTTTAATTAAAAAACAGCACTGTTCATGATTTTCGGGCCAGGCCGGGCTCAGCCTTGGGATTTTCACTTCGGGCTTTGCCAAGCCCGGCCCGGACCAGGGTATGAACAGGTCTTGAAAGAAACAGTGTTGATGGAGCGGTTATGGGTAGCAATAGCAAATGCGTACATGAGGGGAAAAATGATGCCATAGGGGGAGGGGGTATGTGAAATTTTCTTTTGTACTCCCTCCGTCCCAGAATGTAAGACTTTTTTTTGACATTAGTGTAGTGTCAAAAAACGTCTTACATTATGGGACAGAGAGAGTAGTTCATTGTGTTTGATGAGTACAGTTGATACCAAACATTTTCCTTAACTGAGACATTGCTCTTTTTGCAGTTAGTTACCCTTTCGGAGACGGGACACGGACACCATGATCAATACCATGTGACTTGACCAAACGGCCCAGGAAGATAGGTTTGGGAGTTCAGGGCAGGTACATGCTTCGGTGAATGGCAAGCGTGAAACCTGCAAGTTTCTGCTAAATGCATTTGATTTCTTTGCCGGTGTAACTCCTTGGCATATCCTTGTACCGAAAGTACTGGTGCAGGCAAGCGACTCTGCTGCTTCCTTTCTGCATGAAAACGGGAACCGTCATGTGAGCTGACTCTGTACATTTCTGGATGCTTGTTGAGTCCCTACACTTCATGTATGTCTTGGTTCGATGAACAAACAAGTATCCTGGTCCACTGAATGAACAGAAGTTGAGGATCCTGGAAGTGTATACTTACAATTCAAAAGCGGAACCACTTTGATTTTTGTGGTAATTTTGGGCCTCTTGTTTTTACCTGGTGCTGTCACGTGTTTTGGTGTGCGCGTCGCCACTGTGGTTGAATTCGGGCGGTCACCGCTTAGTACGAGCCTTAATGAAGCAACCGCTTTCTTCTCGCCTTAGTCTCATGCTCGCTCTCTCCCGGAAATCAGCCAGGCATTTTCAAAGCACCCACCAAATTGTCCCCAGATGTAGAACATCTTCAAGGCGGTTCATCAAATCGCCTTCAAATGTCTGGACTAGACGTCCTAACATTTTTAGGCCTCCAACGTGGCCCATTTTGACCCGGAGCGTTTGAAACCTCATTGGCCATCCCCAAACTGGGGAACTTTGGGGGAGTTTGGATGTTCTTTATGTTGTACTCTGACACCCTATCCCACCCAAAACCATGTTTAGAGCCTGCATTTTTTTTGTAATTCGTCCTACCTCCACTTTCTATCCACGCTCCTCGAGACTGACGTTGATGTTGTACCCCCTCGGAGCCGTGCGGGCCTTGCCGGACCTCCGCCGCCCCACCAAACCGCCTCTCCACCAAGACCCCGCCCCTACCGACGCAGTGCATGGCGGACCGTGCCTGGTAAGTGTTCAGTGCAATAGTGCAATTCTTTTATGTACTCGTTTTGTATTTTGAAGCAAACACGGTGGATGCTGACGACGAGTACTTCTACGCCGAGTTCATGGATTCTTCTTTGTCGGATGACTATGACCAAGATGATGATGAAATGGCGGTGATGATGACGATTCTTGAAGAAATGGAGTGTGCTTTCTTAACTTCAAGGGTTCAACAAAGGGACATTGACTGTTGAATCGGCAGCGGGCACGGTGCGTGTTGATCTCTACAAGGACTACTTTACCCCCGATGCGCTATTTGACCCCTATTTTCCACGTCGATGCAACGACAAATGTTAGGGCTTATGATGATTACTAAAAGCTGAAAAGGGTGCCTTTGACCCCATTAGGTTCTCTGGCCTTCAAAAGTGCATGTATGCTCTAATGATGCTTGTGTATGGCACAACCACAAACCAACAGGATTAGTACCTCCAGATGTCCGAGAGCACATGCCTTGAAGCCATGGTGAGATTTGCTATTTGCAGTGGTCAACGTGTTTAGAACGAAGTAGAGAGAACCAAATGTCAAAGACATAGCAAAGCTCATGGCACTTGGAGAATCAAGATGGTCTCCAAGTATATTCGGATCCCTTGATTGCATGCACTGAAAATGAATTGGACTTCCCATATGCTCAATAAGGGAAATGTTAGGGCCATCATAAAAAAAGAACTTTGGGTTTGGCACTATTAGTTTGACATGTCAAGTCCCGGTTCTAAGCCGTAAAGCATGCTGCACTAAACTATCAAGTAGTCATCATATCGAGCTTGCCAAACGTTCATAACGTCTGCATCTGCTCCTGCAATAGGTTTGTCACCTAGCATTGCATGAAGGACATAATTCTTCTGTGCGGCAATGAGGATAATCCTCAGATCACGGACCCAGTCCGCATCATTGCTACTATCATCTTTCAACTTAGTTTTCTCTAGGAATATATCAAAAAACATAGGGGAGCTACAACGTGAGATATTGATCTACAACATAATTTGCAAATACTATCAGGATTAAGTTCGTGGTAAACTAAGTTCAATTAATTAAATTACTTAAGAACTCCCAATTAAACTGACATCCCTCGAGTCATCTAAGTGTAACGTGCTCCAAATCAACTAACTCATGTCCGATCATCATGTGAGATGGGGTAGTTGCTACCTCTTGAGCACTGCGTTGGATTTCCCCGAAGAGGAGAGGATGATGCAGCAAAGTAGCGTAAGTATTTCCCTCAGTTTTTGAGAACCAAGGTATCAATCCAGTAGGAGACCACGCACAAGTCCCTCGTACCTACACAAAACGATAGCAACTCGCAACTAACGCGCTTAGGGGTTGTCAATCCCTTCACGTTCACTTACGAAAGTGAGATCTGATATAGATGATAAATAATATTTTTGGTATTTTTGATAGATAGATGCAAAGTGAAAACTAAAAGGCAAAGTAAAAACAAAGCAAGTAAATAAAGTGATAGAGATTGATATGATGAGAATAGACCCGGGGGCCATAGGTTTCACTAGTGGCTTCTCTCAAAAGCATAAGTATTCTACGGTGGGTGAACAAATTACTGTTGAGCAATTGACAGAATTGAGCATAGTTATGAGTATATCTAGACAATGATCATGTATATAGGCATCACGTCCAAGACAAGTAGATCGAAACGATTCTGCATCTACTACTATTACTCCACTCATCGACCGATATTCAGCATGCATCTAGAGTATTAAGTAAAAACATAGTAACGCCTTAAGCAAGATGACATAATGTAGAGGGATAAATTCATGCAATATGATAAAAAAAACCCATCTTGTTATCCTCGATGGCAACAATAGAATACGGCCTTGCAACCCATTCTGTCACTGGGTAAGGACACCGCAAGATTGAACCCAAAGCTAAGCACTTCTCCCATTGCAAGAACTACCAATCTAGTTGGCCAAACCAAAAAGGATAATTCGAAGAGACTTGCAAAGATAACTCAATCATACATAAAAGAATTCATCGGTCTCAACAAACACATCGCAAAAAGAAGATTACATTGAATAGATCTCCACGAGAGAGGGGGAGAACATTGTATTGAGATCCGAAAAGAGAGAAGAAGCCATTTAGCTACTAGCTATGGACCCGAAGGTCTGAAGTAAACTACTCGCACTTCATCGGAGGGGCTATGGTGTTGATGTAGAAGCCCTCCATGGTGGATGCCCCCTCCGGCGGAGCTCCGGAACAGGCCCCAAGATGGGATCTCGTGGGTACAGAAGGTTGCGGCGGTGGAATTGGGTTTTTGGCTCCTGTTCTGATCGTTTGGGGATATGTTGGTATATATAGGAGGAAGGAGTACGTCGGTGGAGCTTCGAGGGGCCCACGAGGTAGGGGGCGCGCCCAGGGGGGCGCCCTCCACCCTCGTGACCGCCTCGTGGCTTTCTTGACGGAGGGTCCAAGTCTCCTGGGTCTTATCTGATGAGAAAATCACGCTCCCGAAGGTTTCATTCCGTTTGGACTCCGTTTGATATTTTGTTTCTTCGAAATACTGAAAAAGGCAAAAAACAGCAATTCTGGGCTGGGCCTCCGGTTAATAGGTTAGTCCCAAAAATAATATAAAAGTGGAAAATAAAACCCAATATAGTCCAAAACAGTAGGTAAAGTAGCATGGAGCAATCAAAAATTATAGATACGTTGGAGACGTATCAGGCATCCCCAAGCTTAATTCCTGCTCATCCTCGAGTAGGTAAATGATAAAAAAGAATTTTTGATGCGGAGTGATACTTTGGCATAATTTCAATGTAAAACTTCTTAATTGTGATATGAATATTCAGATCCGAAAGATTCAAGACAAAAGTTCATATTGACACAAAAATAATAATACTGCAAGCATACTAATCAAAGCAATCATGTCTTCTCAAAATAACATCGCAAAAGAAAGTTCATCCCTACAAAATCATATAGTTAGGCTATGCTTCATTTTCGTCACACAAAGATGTTCCCAACTTCTACACCCCCGATGACAAGCCAAGCAATTGTTTCATACTTAAATAATCTCAAAGTTTTTCAACCTTCACGCAATACATGAGCGTGAGCCATGGATATAGCACTATGGGTGGAATAGAATATGATGATGGGGATTGTGTGGAGAAGACAAAAAGGAGAAAGTCTCACATTGACGAGGCTAATCAACGGGCTATGGAGATGCCCATCAATTGATGTCAACATGAGGAGTAGGGATTTCCATGCAACGGATGCACTAGAGCTATGAATGCTCAACAAAAGAAAACTAGTGGGTGTGCATCCAACTTGCTTGCTCATGAAGACCTAGGGCATTTGAGGAAGCCCATCGTAGGAATATACAAGCCAAGTTCTATAATGGAAAATTCCCAGTAGTATAAAAAGACAACTTATGAGACTCACTACATGAAGAACAAGGTGCTACTTTTAAGCGCAATATATGAGACTCACTACATGAAGAACAAGGTGCTACTTTGAAGCACAAGTGTGGAAAAAGAGATAGTAGCATTGCCCTTTTCTTTTCTTTTTTTGGGCCTTTTTTCGACTTTCTCTTTTCTTTTTATTTGGGCAATGCTCTAATAATGATGATCATCACACTTCTATTGATTACAACATAAGGATTACAACTCGAAACTTAGAACAAGATATGACTCTATATGAATGCCTCCGACGGTGTACCGGGATGGTGCAATGAATCAAGAGTGACATGTATGAAAAATAATGCATGGTGGCCTTGCCACAAATACGATGTCAACTACATGATCATGCAATGGCAATATGACAAAAGTAATGTATGTCATGATGATGATGGTGGGAGTTGCATGGCAATATATCTCGGAATGGCTATGGAAATGCCATAATAGGTAGGTATGGTGACTGTTTTGAGGAAGATATAAGGAGGTTTATGTGTGATAGAGCGTATCGTATCACAGGGTTTGGATGCACAGGCAAAGTTTGCACCAACTCTCAAGGTGAGAAAGGGCAATGCACAGTACCAAAGAGGCTAGCAAAGGCGGAAAGGTGAGAGTGCG